GGAGAGGTGACACTCAGGAGAGGTGACACCCCCAGGCAGAGGTGACACCCCAGGAGAGGTGGCACCCCCGGGAGAGGTGACACTCAGGTGGAGCAGCCCCGGCGGAAGGCAGGGAGCTCTGGGAGCCCAGGGGTGTCCAGCATGGCAGTGCAGAGGAGGGAGAGAGACACGGAGCTGTGGGGCCTCAGGAGCACCGTGCGGGACCTGGGGGAGGGGGAGGGGCAGCTCACACCGGGGAGCCCTCCATCCCGAGGCCTGCAGAGGGCGGGGCCACACTCACCTGCTTGATGGCAGCTCTGAAGGCCCCCAGCACAGCCGCGGCTCCCCCACAGTCCCTCTTCATCCCAGGCATGGTGGTCTGGAGGGGGCACAGAGGGGGCACTAAGTGAGCGTGAGTGGATGTCGGCCCCGCCGGCAACAGTGCCTCACCCCTGCCCGGCACGCAAGGGCCCCAGAACAGCTCCCCCAGACCTGCGCGACCCACTGCCGGGTCCCCAGAGCACACACAGAACCCACGAAACTCCCACTTGTCGAGTGGCTGGTCTCCAGAAGCAATGGGACAGAACGGCGAAGGTGATGGGCGCTTTCCGCTGGGGCAGAGCTTTGGGGGCTCCTGATACACCAGAGGTGGGAGGGGAAGGGGACCCCGGGAGCTGCCCAAAGTTGCCACGTGGGCTGTGGCCTTGCTCCTCCCCTCCGTGGTGTCAGCCTTCCCATTTTCCTGGTTCCCATTCCTCAGCCCTCAGCCAACAAGTACAATCAGACCCTCACCCTGAGATGGCCCCCAAAGGAACCCCCCGTCCCTGAGCTCTCTGGACACCTCAGCTGCTCACCCGCACCCACCTCTCCCAGGAGCCCGCCCCCTGAGGCCACCTGCTCTGCTGGGTCAGCAGAACCACTGCCAAGCAGCCCGTCCTCCGGGGGCCCTACGATTCCCGCTCAACATGGGGGGCACACGGGAGCGGCCTCTCCTGGCTTCCGGAGCTCTCTGATCCCCACTTGCTGGCAGAGGGCTGTGCCCGCGTGTGATGCACGTGGTGCCCGGCCGGCGTGCACCCTGCAGAGGGACAGGGCCTTGTTCTGGTTCCCACGACGGCCCCCTCCCACACCCCCTGCTCCCTTTGCTAGCCCTCCCACTTCTACTCGTCTCCTGCAGGCCCGGTCCCAGGAAGAGCCCCAGAGCTTTACATCAGGCCTGCCCCCCTTCACACTGCCCTCCTTCACACTGCCCTGAGGTCTGACCTCCCAGCCAGCACCCCTGCACCCCAGTCCCAGCGGGGCTTGCAGTAGCCACGCAGCAGGTTAAAACCAGGCACCATGTGCCTTCCCCCTCATACCGCGTCCTCCCCCAGGACCGTCCATCTTCCTCTGTGCACCAGCCTCCCTTGCTCCCACCACCACCCAGACCACCTTTCTGCAGCAGACCACCCTGCCCAGGTCACCGCCTGGTCTCGGCGACACTTTCGGCCTCAGCTCTGCTCCTTGACGTCACTGTCTCAAACAATCCGCTCAGGTTCGTGTGAACTCTTCCCCAATGTCACCATCACGTCCCTGATCCCACCCCACCGCCCGCTCTGTCGGTGTCTAATGAGGGCCGTGAGCGGCGGAGGCTCCCTCCTGCCACAGAAGGAGCTGTGATTTTCTACAAACGGGTTGAGAGTGGTTACACATTTTTACATTTTATAGGTTCCCAGCTCTAATTGACAAGTTCATACTTTAAATTAACAACAGGTCATCAGATGCAGGATTTGGGTTTGAAATGGACGGAGTGATTTTTTCGAACCCTTATCGGATTACACAAGCCTCAAGTTTTAATGAAAAGTATTTTTAGACATAAACCGAGCTGCTTTTACAATTAAATTGAGTGAAAATGACCCAGCTAGCACTATTGAAAATAAGCTGTCTCTTTGACCTAATCGGTGAGAAAGCACAGGATTGTTTAAATGGAAAAACGGGGCCTCAGATCTGGAATCAAACCACCGGCAAAACGGCCCATGCAGAATAGCTCAAGATGGTCACTGAAATTGTGTCTCCCTGTCACCGGGGCGGCTTCCCAACCGCAGACCGAACAAACGCCAAACTGCAAGTGTAACTCAATGGACTGTGTGAGCTTTGCAGATTCCCCACACGTTGCTCCTATTTTTCTGAAAGAGGCGATTTCCGAAACCCCCGTTTCACGGGGTTGACACTCGTGCAATGCAGCAGAGCGGTGGCGCGTCCAGCCACGGCAGGGACGGTCCCCAGACTCGCCTCCGCCCTCCGGGAAAATAAAGCGCAGCCAACTCCACTTGAGTCTCCTTGCTGAAGGAGTAGAATGATGGATTTTTCAAAAGCTCAACTGCTGAGCACAGCTGTTTGCAAGATTCCCTGTGATGGAACAGAAGGTGCGTGCACCGAGCACCCCTACTGTCCCCAGGCCGGGCGGTCAGAGCAGAAGCCACGGACCGTCTCCCGGGGCTCAGCTCAGCTGGGCACTGTGCTCCAGAACACTGTTTTAATTCAAAGAACAACTGACACATGACGGGTTATTCGGACTCAGGTGTCTGGCAGAAGCGAACCTCTCACGTCCAGGGGAACAGCTGACCATAGTTGGTGCCAGTGGGAAAATTTGAGCTTTCAAGCAAAAAAAAAAAAAAAAAA